CCCTCCTCTCCTCCATCCAGTCCATCACGGAGGATCTGCAGCAGCTGGTGGGTGAGGGGGAAGAGGAGACTGGTGCCCTCAGTGCTCTGTTTCCTCTCCGAGCGAGGAGGAAGGAGAGCATGGTGATGGGAACCACTGGAACACTTCTACCCCCTTCCTTGAAGCGGACTGTGAAGGCATTTACTGCTGCCACCCTGATGAAGGGTCATTCAGAGGATGGCTGGCAGGAAATTGGCAAGAAGAAAAAGAAAAAGGCCTCTGGAAACTCAACACAAAACTGCTAGAGAAAGAGGGGATAGTATCCCGCTACAAGGAGAAACTAACACAGTGGCTGTCCTTGCAGTGTCTGTATGGGTCAGTACGAGAGTGGTGGGAAGAGGTGAAGGTGAGGACAAGGGCCTTTTTCATGGCTGAGGGGAGGAAGGCCGCTGTCAGACAGAGAGGGGTGCAGCGTCTCTACACAATGTGCTCGAGCATATCACCCTTTTAAAAAAGGACATCCAGAACATAGCGGAAGAAAGTAGTCGAGGTGTTCTGTTAAGAAGCAGAGTGCAATTCTTGGAAGAAAATGAGAAGTGTACTCGCTTCTTCTTCTGGAAAGTGGGTAGGCTCCAAGTCTGTCCTGGAGAGTGTAATTGATGAGGAAGGAAGAGAGTGAACAGACCCTAGTGCTATCCTCTCCTGCATCGAGACCTTCTACTCAAGACTGTACAGCTCCACAGAGGTAAAGGATGAAGAAATTCATTTTTTACCTCAAAGCTAGAAAATGTTTTGGGCGAAGAAGGTAGGGAAGTACTTGAGAGGGATTTGACAGTAGAAGAACTGAGGCAGGCTATGGAAAGCTTACAGAAGGTGAAAACTCTGTGTGTTGAAGGGCTCTCAAATGAATTTTATTGCACCTTTTGAGATCTGCTTAAGGATCCGCTACTGCACCTACTGTATACGAGGAAAGCTTCAAGACAGGATACCTGCCTGACTCTTTAAGAGAAGGCACTATCTCTCTCTTGTTTAAGGAGGAGCGAAAAACGATATAAAGAATTGGAGACCCCTCAGCCTGTTAGGCGTTGACACTAAGATTCAGTCCAAAGCCCTTTTCCTGTGCCTACAAAATGCAGTGGCCTCGTTAGTAGGGTAAGAACTTGTGGGATAGCAGGACGCCTAATGAGTGACAACCTGGCCTTGTTGAGGGATGTCTGTCTGTACTCAGAGGACCACTCTCTCCCACTGTGCATTTTAGGTGTACACCTAGAAAAGGCCTTTGACCGCCTAAACCAGCAGTATTTAACATCGGTACTTGAGCACATGAAGTTTGGCCCCATCATTAGAAAATGGATTAACCTGCTGTACACAGGTAGCAACCGCAGAATAATGGTTAATGGCTACAAAGCACGCCCCTTTGAAGTCTGTTCTGGGGTGAGGCAGGGCTGCCCATTATCCCCCTTGCTATTCATTTTGGCTTTGGAGCCCTTAGCCTGTACCTTGCGCCAAGATAAGGCCATTAAAGGGATACCAGTGACTGGAAGCAATGGAGGAGATGTAAAGACGTCTCTATACATGGATGACGTCACTCTCCTCCTCTCTGACAATGCCTCAGTTAGCAGAGTTTTGCAGTGCTGTGATCTGTTCTCTTTGGCTTCCTCTACAAAAATTAATAAATCTAAGAGAGATTTTTTTATCAGAACTGGAGTGATCCAAAAGAAGAACATGATCTCAGTCTGCAAGAGAAGAGAATTAAGGTCCTGGGTTGTATTTTGGAGAAGAGATGGAAACAGTGAATTAGCAGAACAAACTACCAATCTTAAATAAAAAAACGATGCAATGGAAGGACCGAGACGTCCCCATGACAGGGAAGGTGCTGGTTATCAAAGACGAGCTCTTGCCCGTCTTGAATTTCCTGGCTTCTACCTTTCCAATCCCACACCATATTGCAGCGTTGCTGAGGAGATTGATTTTCAATTTCTATGGGGTAGGAAGCAAGAAAGACTCAGGAGGTAAATAATGTACAAGCCGCTACCCCTGAGGGGGGGGAGTCTGTCCCAGATATTGCTACGCAGCTGCTGAGCATTTTCCTGTCCTCTTTTCTGAGAGGCTTTGCGACAGCACCTGAAGCGCGTACCTAGACTTATTTTGCCAGGCTTTGGGTAGGTAGGTGATCAGAGTGTGGGGTATCAGACCCAAGCTGGATGTCCCACTCTCTGACACATGCCCTGCAATTTATGAGACAGTTTAAAGTTTTCTAAGATCTCATCCAATAGGCCATATTCCCTTCCAAGATGTCAGCGTCCAAAAACTGGAAGATGTCGTTGCACTTCAGAATAATAAGCAGACCCCTGTGGGCATTTTAGCATCAGCCCAAACAAGGAAGGTGTCCTCTAAGTTTCTGTGCAAAGGTCACAAAAACTTACCCTGGAGTGTCATCCACCAGTGCTTACCGGTGCGAACCTTCTCGTACTGCAGGGGCCTCACCCCCAGCCCTCACTGTGTTAGGGTGGGCTGCGGTGAGGAGGAGACTGTGACCCATCTCCTGTGGTCCCGTTTTCTTGTGAAGGCTTTCTGGGCCAAGTTTGAAGACTGGTTGCAAGCCCTCTCACCCCACTTTTCCCTGACCGCTGCTTTCGTTATATATGGCATCTGTCCTGTCAAACTTCCTTTTGATGTGTTTTTACAGAAACATGGGGCTGTTCAAAGGCATCCAGGTCCCAGTCAAGGCAGCAGGTAGCCTGGCCCTGTCCAGTATTACAGAGAACTATTACCTCAGAGATCTGTGGAGAGAAGGGAAAAGGAAGCAAAAAATCTGTGGAAAATAGAGGGCATAGGACTGTACCTCAAGAATCTGTGATAAAGATTGTAATGTAAAGGTAAACAATGGGGTTTGTCCTGTTTTGGAAGTGATGAAAAATGACTTGGAAAAAATGCACCTGAACTAGATAAATTATTGTTATGTAACTGTTACCTTGTCTAAACTTAATGAGATGTGTTCATAAATACTGTTTTAAGTAAATAAATTAATGTAAAGCTTTCTGCTTTGTGATTATCTGTATTTATTTGCAAGAAGAAAATAAAGTTCTTAAAAATCGAAAATCGATTAATAAATTATTCAACGTTTTTTATGGACCAATGGGGGCCCACAGGTCTGTTACAAAAATAATAATAACATAACAAATTCGGGTTCCGTGGGTTTGTGCCCTCGCCGCACGGACTCGAACCCGGGCCCACAGTATCACTCAACAAGGAACATGCCAGCTGAATTAAACCAGACCTCCCTCAGCCCAGGCGGCTGATATCCCTGGGACACCCTGCAACCGGCATGTACAACCTGTATGTCGGCCAAAGGAAACAGCAAAACCCCCATGAATGTCGGTTGTATTTGTTATAATAATAATTCTGGCCAGTCAGGGGCCCTTGATCAATCTGGGCCCCTAGGCTACAGCCTATGCTAGCCTGTTCATTAATCTGCCCCTGGCTGGAATGACCATCAGTATACTGTACATTAAGGACAACATACAGTAGCTGCATGTATGCTGAGCACCAGAGTAGCTGGTAAAAGATGGGCATGCTGAATTTGTCACTGAGGTACATGTACAGGTCAGAAGTCATTGGGAAGTATTCAGCTGCAGACAAATACCTCACATCAAGATGTGCTACTGTTTGGTTGTATTCTGGCAACATTGACAAAGATGCAAATCTGAGGAGAGGTGATTTTCTATTAGCTGTGGGTCTGTGTATTAGATGTCACCCCTTTTGGAGATGCACAAATTTTGGTCTGGTCAGAAATCATACTTTTCGCTGTCCTGCTCTGCACTAAGCCAATTTGGAAAGAGGAAGTGATCTTTAAAAATAGCCTTAGCAAGGACGCAAAAGCGAACAAAGAACGGTAATTTTCTATTAGCCGTGGGTCTCTATATCACAATCCACCCAGTTTAAAGGATGCACAACTTTTTTGTCATTCATGTAACTTAACCCTGTCTAGTTTTTTTTTTCCTTGAGGCATAGGTTAGGAAGACTTTTATTTTGAAAGGTAATGCGAATAGGAAGTCAGTTCTTGTTGCAAACGTTCAACGCTATTCACAGGCTGCAGATTCATAACTGGGTATCGTCATTCTGGTGCCACCGGAAAGGGCTTTACAGTTTTCTTTCTGAGAAAACGGTAAGTGCAAATAACACATTTCGTTTAACAGTTTGTATTAAATATTTTTATAAATTTATTTTCTATATAACGTATACGATTTAGACCAAAGTAAAAACGCAGCGGCAACGCATTGGTATTTGGCTTAGATGACATGAGACTGTGTCCAGCACAGTTATAATCATCCGCCAACACTCGCACACTACACTATTATATTTTAAGTGCGACAATAAGAGTCGAATTGGGCAGCTTCCGATGTCCTGAATAAACTGAGTGCTTCACAGCTGTTTTTTAAACAGCCTTTGTTAAAGGGTAGACAGTCTAATTCTATCTCACCACACGAATACCCCAATAAGCAAATTGGATCACTACATTGGACCTGACTGATGCTTATTTCCACATTCCAGTCTGAATCATTTTACCTTATAGACATTGCAGAGAAGAATTAAAAAAGTCAAACAGAATGCTAGAATATATCCAAGTCTATAGTGTAAAACAAATTATGTAAATCTTGTAGGATGCACTAAAATGAGTCTATTTAGAACATAGACCATTTAGTGACCATTTGTTCAATGATAAAGTTTGACCACTCAGAGTTTTTTTTTTTAGAAATGAAGTCTGACCAATTGAAGTGGCTTCATGTGACTTTTCTGCTTGTCCACCAGTGTTCTGTGTCACAATCAGGTACAGTGACTGTTATGGATCAAAACATAAGTTGCAAGGCAAAAGTCACCTTCTCCAGTGGTGTGGTCTTTGAACCTTGCGGATTAGCATTCTTAATTTTTGTTTCTGCATACCCTGTGAGATCATGTGACATTAATACTGTGTTATCTTTTAAGATGCTATTGTGAACTGTATAAAAAACCTTTTAAAATGGTAAACCAGTGAAGCAAGCCTGAGTTGATAGAAATATCTCATGGCCCAGTGACTGAGGACAGGCAGAATGACCATGGACATTATGTTTCTCCAAAATAAAGATTTGGTTCCTCATGGATTTAACAAGGAGAGCTACTGCTTCTACATACTGGAGCTGGTATATTCAAAATAACACAACCGATTTTCTGCTTTGGTTTAAAGTTATTCTGCAAATGTGGCTTAAGTTATTCAAGTGGAACCAAATCTTTATTTTGGAGGAATATTGGCATTAAAAAACAAGAACATGTGTTCACATGTTTAAAATAGATGTGTGGTGCAACCTAAAGGCTGAAATTAATGGTAAGAAAATGTAGTTTGGCATTTCTGTTATGCTTGGTTTTTAAAGAGGGCAGGGCCCTTTGTGTCCTAAGCACCCAATTGACCCCTGTGATGCCTCAAAGTACAGCATCTTGAAAAATGAGATGCAGAAATATACAGTTGTGCCGTCCACATGGTCATTAATTTTATGACCCTTGTAAAGAGACACCAAACGATAACCACAAAATAACTAGCGAGGCATATCTTTCCTCCAGAATGCAAACTGGGTTCAACCTGTAAATACCAGTGGTATATGTGTGGGGTATACTTCTGCAGGGCACAATCTCAGTTGGTCCTGGGTGGTAGAGGTATATACAGAGTAAACAAAGCTGAGAAAAGAGAGCATTGGGATATTCAACACAACTTATCAAGTTAGGAGGACTTGATCAATCAACGAGAGTTCTGTAGCAACTGGACACTCCTTCTCAGACGATCACCAAACCACCAAATCAGCTGGTCATCAATTAGCCAGTATGCATGTCTGTGCCACACTCATTGACACCCGTTAAGGTGGTATATTACACAACTGTAATTTTCTATAGTAAGCAATTCTGAGGTGTTTTTCCAAGACACTGTTGGCATGGTGCCTATGCTCCAAAACCACTCAAGTGTGCCATGGCCAATCATGACAAAACAATTAATCAAATAATAGCAAAAAACAATTACCCAAAACTTATGTACCTTTCTAAAATCATACAAGCATTTAGACTGATACTGTAAGTGTCTTATGCAAGTTGTATTACTATATTGTACTTAAATTGTTTTCTTTATATTGACATGCACGGAAAAGAAAAACCACCATTAACCCTGTGTTGTTCCCCTTTCAGATACGTTTCGGGTGTTTGGACCATCTGCTCCTGTTGTTGTTTTCCGTGGTGAAGACACTGTTCTACCATGTTACCTCTCACCCAACATCAGTGCTGTGAACCTAGAGATCAGGTGGTTTAGAGAGGATTACACAGCCCCTGTTTGTTTATACCGATATGGCAGGTATAATTTTAACAACCAGATCACATCCTACAGGGGGAGGGCAGAGCTTTTCCCAGAGGAATTTAAGAAATCTAATGTGTCATTAAAACTGAAAAGTGTGAGACATTCCGATCATGGACTGTATAAATGCATGGTTAAATCTCAGCAGTGGTATGAAGAAGCTAATATTTACCTGGCTGTTAGAGGTAAGTGTCCTATCATGCTTTTAAATATCATAAAGTTTATTAATATTCGTTTTTCGGGGTAGTTTCCAGGAGAATGCCAGTATTACAGCAGTGATAAGTTAGTTAAATGCAGTAATATGGTTTTACACCTTAATGGCTTTAAACTGTTCTTATAGCCTGACAAGGAAACTAGTTGGGTTATGCTTAAAACAATTTTACCCATTTCACATGTTACACATTTTGTTGTAAAAGGGCACAGCAGCTAACATTAACATTTCTGATGTTATAGCAGTTTGGAAACATGTAGTTTCAGTGAATGACAAGACTTGTTCTAGAGTTTACATCTGTTAACTATTGTTCACAGCCCTGGGGACACATCCCTCAGTTTCTCTCCTTCCACCTGGAAGGGAGCAGTCACAGCTGCTGTGCCGAACAGAAGGGTGGTACCCTGAACCTGTAGTGATCTGGACAGACAGGGATGGAAACAACGTTACTTCACTCTCCACCACTACTGCTAAGCAGGACAGTCAAGGCCTCTTCAGTGTCAGCAGCTACATCCCAGTCAATCAGGAGTCTACTGTCTTCTCCTGCATGGTTAGAAGTCCGCTACCTGAACCAGACTGGGAATCTCAGCTTTATATATTTGGTGAGTTCTAAGGATTAACAGTCTCTTGACACCTAGGGGTACTGCAGCTATTGCAGTATATAATAAAAAGGTAAGAATCATTAAATAGTCCTAAGTTGCCTTCATTTTTTTTAATTACTATGCTAGTGTTTGAATTTCCATAATTAAACATGATTGTTTTCTATTATTCCGTCATACTCTCTTATGAGAGTCTTTATTATCCCCAAAAGGAAATTTGTTTTACAACTGCAGATGATATAAAGAAAAAAAAACAAACAATACACATAACAGTGTATAAGTAAGGTTATAAAGGAACAAGCAATAGGTTTATTCCATGCTAAAAAAAAAAGAAGAAAGAAAACACAACGTTTTGGCCATGGAGCCTTCTTCAGGTGTGAGAAAGACAAGGCAGTAAGCAAAGGTAATGTAGCGGGAGAACAAAAGCTGGGAGAGAGGAGGAGCGAGGGGCAGGAGCAGGAAACAGAAAGAGAGGACAATCATGAGGTTTGAAGTCAGGAAACAATGGGCTTGGAGAGATATTTAATCTTCACAGCCTTAACATGTTCTCTGAAGCGGTCTCCAAGTCTCTTTCCTGTTTCTCCAATGAAGATGCCATCTGAGGAATCCGGAATTGTCCTGAGGGACCTTGAATGAGTCTGGTGTTAGATGTATAGGTGGTACAGTGAGCTCTGTTGCAAGGGAAAGTACCTGTTGTGGATGGTTGCTGAGGGTGGTCAAGGGAGCTGTGAACAAGAAGGTTGCGCAGATATGTGGTCAGCGATATGAGATGATGGGGCAGTCAGAAAAGAGGGCCCCAATGGAGGGATCATCCTGTAGGATGGAAAAGTTGTCGTTAATAGTCCTGGGATAGAAAGTGTGTTGGTGTGGTAGGGAAGCACCAAAGGAATGCGGTTGTTACAATGGGAGTTCCTGCTTGAGTTGATGGTCCAAGGGGTGTTTTTGACTCGGGCAAGGGCCCTGTCAATAACACTGCTGGGGTATTCTCTGTTGATGAAAAAGGAGTACATTTTGAGGGCTTGGTTCTGGAAGTCAATGTCGTTGCTGCATAATTGTTGTAGCCGAAGGAACTGTGAAAATGGGAGAGAGTTTTTTGGGGTGTTTGGGGTGAAATGAGCTATACAGGAGATAGCTGTGTGAATCCGTTGGTTTGTAATAGACCGAAGTGGAGAGTCGGGGGTAGTTGATGGAGAAGCTGATGTCTAGAAAAGGAAGAGTTGTGGAAGATATGTTAACCGTATATTTGAGGGACGGGTGGAAGTTGGTGAAATGATGCAGAAAGCACTCAACCTGGCCGTTGGAGCATGTGGCGGCACCAACGCAGTCATCGGTGTATCACTTGTAGAGGTCAGGGACATAGCTAGTGTAGGAAGTGAAGAAGCGTTCTTCTACCCAGCAGACAAAAATATTGGCATAGCTGGGTCCCATTCTGGTGCCCATGGCAGCTCCACTGACCTGTTGGTAAAAGAGGTTATTGAATGAGAATGCATTCAGTGTGAGGACCAATTCTGCAAGGCATACCCAGGTGTGGGTGGGTGGATCAAGCACTGTGCATTTGTCCAGCGTGTGCTTGAGGGCTGTAAGGCCGTCATTATGGGGAATGACGGTGTAAAGAGATGTGATGTCCATGGTAAAAATGTAGCATTTGGGGCCCTGAAATTGGGAATCATTAAAAAGTTGGAGCGCATGGTTGGTGTCCTTGGTGTATGAGGGAAGACCTTCAACCAGCGGTCTCGTGAGGCTGAGATGTAAGTAGTCGGACAGTTGCATGCTGATAACAATGGGGCGTCCAAGGGGTGTCCGGTTTGTGGATTTTGGGGAGGACGTAAAATTGAGATACCTGTGGATGTTCAATGATGAGCCGGTTTGCCTCCTGGGGGAGCTCCTTACTGCTGATAAGAAGGGAGATGATGGATACCACTTCCTTATGGCAGTCAGTGGTAGGGTCCTGTTTGAGAGGGAGGTAGGCAAAAGTGTCAGTTAGTTGTCTAGAGGCTTCAAAGATATATAGATCCTTACACCACACCACAACAGCGCCTCCTTTGTCCTCATAGAAAACATTTCCACTTGTGGCCCATGGGATAATGTTATTCCTGAGATGTCACATGCAACAGCAGTTGTCTGTTTTTGAATCACACTCAAACCAGGTCAGGAGTAATGACCCCAAGCCAGTGTCAGATTTCTACATTTCTGAACCCTTCACCGGTTAGCTAACTAATTTTCACCTGTTGTATCTATAATAATGGTGACCTTTAATTGGCTCTAGTGGCAGTTTGACTGATAAACAGGAACGTCGGAGAATGGTCGTCCACAGTGGTTACTTTCAAACCACTTTCAAAACTAATATTTGAGGTACAAACCGGCAGTAAATCTTACAATATGCCCCTTGTTAGGAACTATATGATGTGGATGTCGTATCTGAAGTTCTCACATAACCAGCAGGCTATTGCTGAGTGCAGGGCCGGCCCTGGGCAAAGGAAACTGGGCGACTGCATAGGGCCCCAGGCCACCGCAGGGCCCCCTCCGTGTTCAGTACAACATGTTGTTACAAATGGGAGTTTCGAAACTAAACCGAGTGGTTTAGTCAATAAGTGAAATAATTATTCAAAACCCCAATTTGTACGTGATTTATAACGATTATTACCCGAATGGCTGGTATAACTAGAAACACGTGAATTCTTAATTCTCTGGCACAGCTTTGTTGATAATCCAGTAATAATCCAGGCTCACTTGGTTAAATCAAATATTACAATAAACTACACAAAACATACAACACACAAAGTTATATTATTTACAGTATTTACAGACGATACATTTGAGAGGCCTAACTGTCACGTTCATAAACCCCTCCTCTTAAGGACACTCCAGCCCTTCCTTGTTTTCCACTCATCTCCCACACCTACTCCCTGTTCCAACCCCCCTTTCAGTTCTCCTTAAAAGCCAGGTGCTCACTCTATTCCGGGCTCGGCTCTGGTTTCCACACCAGGCGAGTCTGGGACTTGGAAGCGCCTGGTCCCGTTAAAGGTTTTATTTTCTGTTCCTGTCCCCCACTGGTTCCGATCCGGTTCCCGTTTTTAAATCTTGTTTGTCTTGGATATACCGCCCGGTTTTGGACTTTTGCCTTCGTTTGGATTCCACCTTGGATTTTCTCCTGGATTGTTTGCCTTGGCCACACCTCCCCCGAATACCAGCGCACGAAGGACACGCCCCCTGTTTTCATCTCTGTATCCTGCATGACTTTTTTCCCTGTGTTTCTTCACTTTTCCCTGGATCGTGTCATCCACATAGGGTCCGGAAAGAACTGTTCATTACACTAACATTCTGGTCACCCAGAAAACCCCAGACTAAGCACTAAACTCTTAATATGGCTACAGAGGCCACACAAGAGATGGGCTGCCTTCTAACTAAATACAAAGCAACCTGCAGTTAAATCTCTCTCTCTGCACCCTGGATGCTACAAAATAAATGGGAGCCTATACCCCTTTCCATAAAATGCACCCTAAGCAGGAGAGACGTTTCTAACTGAGGTATCCTTTACCTATGAAACCCAAGTTCTCTAAAAATACAGAAAAGCACGTTCTTTCTAACAAGGTTTGAATACTTAGCTCCAGTCAGGTGTGATTTGGATGATCAAGAAGTAGGGGCTCTCGCCTGGCGCAAGCTTTAATTCACAGCTCCTCTGGTCTCCTCTCTCTTCTCCGTGCTCTCCTTGTTTCTTCCATCTCCCCCCCTCTTCCTTCCTCTGTGCTCTTAATGTGATCTTATATTGTCTCTTTCTGTGCTGCTTCTTGCCAAACATTAATCCACAACTTGCCTAGGCATACTTAGATAAACTTTACTATTGTTTCTGCTCAATGGACCCTCCCAGACCTCATCAAAACTCCTCTCTGCTTTGAAGTTAGAAGTATTTACTGTACTCTTCCCGGTGTCACAAGCTTTATCTAAAATCAGACACTTCTCAGTCACCCAAAGCTGTAACAATATTTGTTTTAATCAGCAATTTCAAACCTGAGCGAGTGAGTGCGTGAGTGCCTCTTTCTGTTGCTTTCTTTACGTTGATTATGTTAATGGAAGCCTAATAAAAAATGACCAGTAATAATCAAATACATGATATGTTTCTGAAGCGCAGAAAGGAAGAGCAGGCTAAGCCAAATCAAGTCATTGCAAAAATGCAAAATAGACAGAAATATTAGAAATGTATTTCATTTGGTTTTGAGTTTGTCAGATCCATGTAACTAGAGAACAGTAGACATGCCACCTTTTCTAGCTAGATAATACTACTTCCTAGAGTAGTTTATTACCATACTGTATGTACAGTACACGTGCATTAAAATTCTTAATCGCGCTGATCTCTCAGGACATACACAGTACAACAGACAACACTACACAATGTAGACAACAATAAATATGTTGTGGAACAATAAATATGTAGTGGTGAGACAAAAAAACATGGTAGAACATGCAAAATGTGTTTAGTGCAGATGTGTATTGAGGCTCTGCAGTCAGCTGTTGAGGATGCGCACTGCAATGGGACAGAAGCTGTTCTTGAGTCTAGTGGTCCAGCTTTAACAGTGCGGTACCCGCTTGCCAGAGCACAGGGGGAGAACAGTTTGTGGCCGGGATGGCTGGGATCCTGAATGATGGATTGGGATTTATTGCGGCAGCAGATGGTGTGTATCTCACAGATTGATGGTCAATCACATCCTATAATCCTCTGGGCAGTTGCCACAACCCTTTGTAGTGCATCTCTGTCATGCATGGTACTGTAGTATTGTTATACCACACAGTGAGGACACTAGTGAGGAAGCTTTCTATCATGCTGCTGTAAAAAAAAAAAAATTACAAAGGTTTCAGTGCAGTACTTTGAAGGTTATGATTTGCTATAATTTTAAAGTAAATCTTATCTGGGGTTCATCGTTATTTATTGATATTGATGTTCCTATTTATTACTTTCAATGTTAAAATAAGTTATCTTTATAAAAAGTGTACTTTGTGTTATTTATTAAAGTTATTATGTGTTCTTCACAGCTGGTTAATAACAGTTTTGTAGTTATATAATTAATATACTGTAATTAGTTGTTCTAAACAGTAAATTAAATTTTGGGGTGGGAGCTGATATTAGTAGTATAAGTACAGATTCAGATCTGTAGGGGCCCCTTTCCAGGATCTTGCCTAGGGCCCCCAAAAAGCTGGGGCCAACTAACTTACTGTACCTCTACTGTGAGCTAAAGTACCTCTGTTTTTTCCCAGGTGAAAGTTTCTCAGCACACAGTGGATTCATGGTGGCTTTCTTTTTGATACCAGTTGCCTCTGTTGTAGCAGTGGTACTTCTGGTAATCCAGTGGAAGAAAATGAATGGTATGTACTCATGTCTGTTTATAATTTAACCGCTGTAGTGGCTGCAGTATTAGCTGAACATGCTGACAGACTAAACAAGTACCAGTTGGGAGGTGATGTGTTTGAGTAGATTGGGTGTGTAAAATAGGAGTTTCTCAGTTCTCACTGTAATCCTTGGCCTGCCCGGAGCTGCTCATAAGAGAAAGCAGTCCCTTGGCTGATGTTCATTGCTGATCTTTTAAGTATCAGCTAATAAACTCAGCTTGACTGAAAACCTGTTGACACATTGGCCCCCCAGGGCTAGAATGGGGACCCCTGGAATAAATTGGGTTATTCTGACTTTCCAACATGGGAAAAGTGACTCTTACGTGTTGGCATGTTCACATCACACCTCAAAACTTACAGATGTAACAGGGTCTAATATATAGCAAGCAGGTATTTTGCAATTTTGTCTGAATTATTCTTTAACAGAAACAGTCCTGAAACTGAAATACATAGCAATAATGCACTCCATGGTGTTTGTTAAAATAACATCACATGTGATGTTGAATAGATTAGGTTACAGTGGTTCAAGTAGGTAGCTGCGTCAGCATAGGTAGGCTGCAAAGGAACAAATAAAGGTTTATTCCATGGTGAAAAGAGAAGAAATGAAACACAATGTTTTGGATGTGTTCTTTGGATGTGAGCCTTCACAGCCATAAAATTGAGTTTCCTTTCTTCTCTTTTCAGCATGGAATAAACCTTTAACTTGTTCCTCGATTAGGTTACTATTGAATTATGGTGAATGTCAGAATTTAAACAGTAAATCAGTTGAGAAATATTAAGAATGTGTGTAAGCTATTCTAGTGAATTCTAGTGAATCTAATTTTACATTTTTGAAATTTATGTGAATAAAATGTGTGTATTATTAAACAAATAATTAAAACCTTTCCAAAATGTGGATAACCGTCCTAATGTTATAATGTAAGCCTGTTCCATGCCCAGAATTCTGGACATCAGATCCAATGGGAACCTTACATTTCTCCCAGTTTGGGGAGCACTTCACACCACATAAACTCAGACTCAAGCAGGATTCAGCTCAGAAGCTTTTATACTGTAGGAGCCTTATGTTTACAAACAGGACTAGGTAATTTCAATGTTTATATTTGTGTTCAGATTTTTATATGAAACATCACATTAAGAGACAGATAAAGGCGACTGTATTCCTCTTATTTATGTACCCAACTTTGCCTTACATTGACCTGTTTTCAATTTCATCACCACAAAAGATTGTGAAACAGCTGATCTTGACTACACTTGATAACTAAATTTGTTAACTGGTTTGTCTGCACATGCTTTCAGTGCAGAAAGGTAAGTAGATTATGATAAAAAGAATAGGTACAAAAATTGCCAAGCTACTGTATATTGAGAATTAGTTTGGAAACAGTGTATGGTGTTATACGAAAACAGAAGAGGCATACTATGGTTTTTTTTTCTCCAAATATTGTGATTATAATACTAGTTGAGGAGTGGGAAACGTGGTATTTAAACTTTTAAACATAGAGTACAAATGTTTGTGTATTTATTTAAAGGAGATATTACCAAAGAGTTTGTGTTTGTTCCATTATTCTTTAAAGGTAATCCACTCCTTTTCTCCTTGCCTGTTTCATATTCTTATCTAAATATAACAGGAAAAGCAGTTTTCTAGTGTAGTGAAATGTGCTGATGGCAGTAATTTGTTTCCCTCCTTGTGTTTCTTTACAGAAAATGAGAGAAATGTGGAATATAAAGGCAAGTAAATGATCATTATTGTCTGCAGCTGCTCTGTATTCTTTCCTAATAGATTTAAAGAGCATTACTCAAGCCTTTTCTGACTTTTATAGTAATGTGTTATGTGCAGAAATAAACATCTTAAACACTGTTAAAAATCAAATAATAATTAAAATCATTAATGTAATATCTTAAACAATGGTGTGATGTAAGGTTTTGCTAAATCAGTTTTCAGAACTTGGATCTTTGAGTGTGATAAGTATTTTCTTGTCCACAGCTATTCCTTTACTGCGTAGAGAACTTGGTAAGTGATGTTTTAATACAAAGAAAAAACACAAATGTATCTTGTACTGTTGTGTAATGATATCTGCTGTAGTTCTAAAAACCTGTTTGCATAGGTATTTTTGTGTAGGAATTTCATCGATTTTTATAGTAAGCAAAGATACACCTAAGTATATGTTGTTAAGGTTGGGGGCTCATAAATGGGAAGTTATACTGTAGGTATAAATGAGTACGGTGCAGACATTTTATTCCCATGCAAGCTGCTTCACTCATAAAATGTCCCTGTATAAATGGGTAGAAATATAAGTAGCCCAGGTTTAATACAGC